CCTTGCTATTGCAAAACTATTCTAGGAAGAAAATTAAATAATTTATTTCAAACACAACTTATGATACCAGTTAAAGCTGATGATTATTTTTTATTATATTAGTAATTAGGGTAAATTTTAGTTTCGCTATAATCAACAGTTCATCTTCAATCAGTAGCCCTAAAGAATATCAAAGAGTAATCTACAAGTACATATCACCAGAATAAAAAAAATCTAAATAAATTAGATTAAGTCAATAGATTTTTGTTATAGCTATTAAAGCATACTCTGGCACCTTGCAATTGTGAAACTATGGTAGTAACAAAATTAAATATTTTAATTCGAACACAAATTATGACACCAGTTAAATGTGATGCGTTTTTTTCTTATATTAGAAAATATGGTAAATTTTAGTTTTGCTATAACCATTAGTCCTACATTAATCAGTTGCAGCAATTGTAATGCACAACTATCAACAGAATAAAAAAAAAAATCAGAATAAAATCAGTTTTTCGAACTCAAATTGATAGATTTCTGTTATAACTATTAAATCATATATTTCTTGAAAAAAACAAGTGCATGTCAGATTGAATTTTACGGTTTATTAAAATTGCATGAAAAGCTTACAAAAGTGTACAGATAATTAAATAATTGCTTACAAAAAACCATACATAATCGAGACTCTAATGTGCGTTTGTGGAATCAAAAAAATGTCTTACATTTCAATCAAGATATAGAAGCGAATATGGAATCGGACAGTAAACCATCAGAAATCCCAAAACTACGAAGGACCGTTATTGGATCCAGCAAATACAGCAAGATACCTCGCGAGGAAGGTAGGACCAATATGTTTACATCGGAAAAGATCTCGCTGCGTTCAACTTCATCAGTTACTCAATGCAGGAAGTAATATCATCTAGTAATAATGCATCTACAAGCCTCTCTCAACCACATTCTGATGTCAAGAAACCTCCTAATTCATGGCAAGTAGTCAATTTCAAAAAAAGAAAAACTTCATTTGAACCATTAGGAATAGATGTCAAAATTCAAAACAGATTTTCGGCCCTTTCAACAATAGACACAGCTAATGATGACAACTCAGTTAAACCGGCTCCAGTCAGTAAGCCCCCTCCAATATTTATTTACGGAGTTGACGATATTAATGATATGTCTAATCAATTAAATGAAATAATTCCGCACGATCAATATTTCCTGAGAAGTTTAGCTAACAATACATTTAAAATTCTATGTAATTCTGTCGACCATTTTCGAACTTTATCCAGACATCTAAAAGAAACTAATGCCGTATATCATACATATCAATTAAAAGAAGAGAAGGCTTATAGGGTTGTTCTTAGAAATGTACACTTTTCAACAAGCACAGATGCAATTAAATTAGAACTATTAAAACAGGGTCATGTCGTACGTAATATCCTAAATATTAGACATAGAATAACAAAAGAACCTCTTAATATGTTTTTGTTGATCTGGAACCAAATAGAAATAACAAAAATATTTATAACATTTATAAATTATTCAACTGCATAATACGCGTCGAACCACCGAGAAAGTCCAACAACATTATACAATGCACTCGCTGTCAACTCTTTAATCACACCAAAAAATACTGCAATAGACCATTTGCTTGCCTAAAATGCGGTGACAATCATAATACTATAGCTTGTACCAAAGATCCGAATGCTCCGGCATGTTGTTATTTTTGCGACGGTGCTCATCCAGCTAATTATCGCGGTTGCTCATACTTCCAAAAAATTAAAGAACAAAGAAACAAATCTCCAGTAAATGAATCAGTCATAAATCCAAATCCAAATAACCAAAATTTTAAAAATTCTAATAATTCCAATTCTAATAATAAAATAAACAACATTTCTCCGGCCTTAAATCCAACAATTCAAAATTCATCCTATGCAGACATTGCAAAAAACAATTACTCTGCTTCTAATCATTCACCATCAAATTCCGATTCTGATTCTCTAGCAACACTGATTTTAGAATTTAAAAATATCTTCAATCAGCTTTTGCAACAGAACACCATAATAATAAATATGTTATCCACGTTAGTCAACAACAAAAGCAATGGCAAAAATAATTAAAATTGCTGAATGGAATGCCAACGGTTTAATACCTCACAAAAATGAAGTAGAATGTTTTTTAAAGTTAAACTTAATAGATATCTTATTAATCTCAGAAACTCACTTCACTGAAAAAAACAACTTTAAAATTTATAACTACACTACTTATAATTCAAATCACCCAAGTGGCAGGGCTCGCGGCGGTTCGGCTATATTAATCAAAAATAATATAAAGCATTTTGTTCTACCAAATATTTCTGATGATTTTCTACAAGCAACTCAAATTTCTGTTGAAACAAATTTATATAATTTTTGTGTTTCTGCTGTTTATTGTCCTCCAAGATTCAAAATTTCTTGTGCTCAGTTTTCTTCATTTTTCTCTCAATTAGGTAATAAATTTATCATTGGTGGTGATTTTAATTGTAAACATATTGCCTGGGGTTCTAGACTGACTACAGCCAAAGGAAAGATTCTTCATGCAGCCATAGGGCAAAATAACCTCTCCTTTATTTCAACTTGCAGTCCAACTTATTGGCCTTCTGACCCTACTAAAGTTCCAGACCTTTTAGATTTTTTTATTGTGAAAGGTATTGATCTTTCAAATCTCAATATTGAATCTAGTTACGATCTCTCTTCAGATCATTCTCCAATACTTGTGACGTTTAGCACATTTCCTACTCCAGTTATCAACAATCATATTCTACACAACAATCTTTCTAACTGGATTCAATTCAAATCCATACTTGATTCAAAATTATTTCCAAAATCTAGGCCTACAAGCGTTATTGAAATAGAAAATAATATAGATTATTTTTCTGAGATTGTACGTGAAACAACCAAGCAGATCACCCCGAACATTATTCCAAGAAATGATAATCTAATAATTCCGCAAGAGATTAAGAAGCTAATTGCACAGAAACGAAGAGCAAGACGTACCTGGCAACATTCTCATCTACCAACGGATAAGACATCGCTTAATCATCTCAATAACACGCTGAGGAAAAAAATGAAAGAATGGAAGAATTGTACATTCAGGTCGTATATATTGCAGCTAAATAGGTACGATAATTCCATATGGAAACCAATCAGAAACAAAAGTAAACCCCTACAACAAAACCCTCCTCTGAAAATAACCAACCAAAACGGATTCATTTGGGCAAAAAGCAACGAAGAAAAAGCGGAGGCATTTGCTGATCATCTAAGTAGCATTTTTAGCGCTCGTAATATTTCCCAGAATAATTTAATTAACAATTTCGTAAATCAACCCATACATTCTACACCGTTAGGACATTTTTCACCAAATGATGTCTTATGTGAAATAAAAAGGATAAAAAATAGATCTTCGCCGGGCATGGATAAAATTACTCCAAAGATGTTAAAAGAATTGCCTACAAAAGGTATTTTATATATAACAAATATTTTCAACGCCATACTTCAATACAATTATTGGCCCACAGCGTGGAAGACTGCAGAAATTATTATGATCGCTAAACCAAACAAAAACCATCACACTGCTAGTTCATACCGTCCTATCAGTCTTTTATCGATATTATCAAAAATTTTAGAGAGACTTTTGTTGCAGAGATTGTCAGAAGATCATCCGAATGATAGTTGGATTCCTCACCATCAGTTTGGCTTCAGAAAAAATCACTCTACAATTCAACAATGCAACAGAACGGTGTCTCGTATTCTTGAAGCCATGAATAGAAAGGAACACAGCGTAGCCGTATTCTTAGATGTCAGTCAGGCTTTTGATAAGGTTTGGCACTCAGGACTCCTATATAAAATCAAAACAACTTTTCCAAACTACTTCAATATCTTAAGCTCATATTTGCTTAATAGAAAATTTAGAATCAAAATTAAAGATGTGACTTCGAGCATCAGAAATATAGAATGCGGGGTACCACAGGGCAGTGTGCTAAGCCCTGTACTTTATCTTCTTTTCACAAACGATATGCCCACAGATGATCTTCTAACCATATGCACTTACGCCGATGACATAGCAATTATTTCATGCAATTCCGATATTAGAACAGCAACTTGTCAGTTACAAAATTATTTATCTAGTCTCGAAAAATGGTTCTTAGATTGGAATATCAAAATTAATCCAGCATACAAATCCTACAATTCAAGCGATTCAGAGACCGATAAGAAGATTGAGCAAGAAATGGCCCTCCGATCTACCAAACACCTAGCCCAATGTCTGCACGCGTCCTGACGTAGTACGCGGCATACATCATCACGTCATCGTTCATTTATGTTATTATTTTTGTATTACTGTTTTAATTTAATTTTTATTTTAACTTTTTTCATTTTATATTCAATGTATTGCATTTTTTGTTTTTTGTATTTTTTTTTTGCTCATATCAATTTTGTAAATAAGACATTAAAGTCTTGATTAACAAAAATAAATTGTAACAAAAAAAAAAAAAAAAAAAATTATTTCTCACACTAAATCATATATTTCTCACACTAAAAAACAACACAGTTATATATTATATATCAATAAAATATTATGTAATATAGAGATTTTCAACCTGTGGCGCGCGAGACTTTCAATAGGATGTATATTTTTCCAAAATGATATTTTTAAATACAACGGAAAAACGTCGAATCGGTGTAAAAAAAAATAATAAACAAATAATTCTATTTTATGTATATGTTTTCCTAATATTGTATTTAATTTTCTAGTTCGGTAAATAAATTATAAAATACCAATGGAGTATCTATGAAATTGGATTGTTAGAATAATGAAGGCGGCGCAACAATTTTTTTTAAAATCGAAGGGCGTATCTATAAGATGATTGGAAACTTTATGTTATAAGTTATCGTATTACAATGAATGCAATGAATTAGATTATAATTTAAAGAATATTAACTATTGAAAATTATTACATTAGGTTAATAAAGTTAGAATGGATTACTCACCACATCTATAAGTTGACTAAGTTTTAATTTAATCTTGACTGTGAGAGCGTCAGTAACATTCACCACAGGCCTCACGAGCTTATTATAATTTGATAGAAGATCATCGTACAATCGTTTTGCATCTGGATTGCCTTGACATCCTGCTGACAAATAAAAAACATTAAAAAATCAATTCAATTTTGGAATAAAAATGGCCATACGATCCTAAATAAAATGTCAAAAAAAATGAGTCTCAGTAGAGATAAGCTCTTTAAAGACATAAAGACCAGCATATTGAATTAAAAAATAATGTATATATTGATTGGCAATAAATATATGCATACAACTAAAAGAATAGAAGACGTAATGTACAGAAATATATCAAACAAATTGCAAAAGCCCAAATCCTCTCTACAAAGGCAGACTAACAATAACGAAATACTAAAAAGACGACAAAATCTCTCAGATATACATTTAGCTTTAAGCAACAATCAGAATTTAAAGAGAACTGTAAACTATTGTGATGATATTTTTTAACTTCATGATATTTAGAAGATAATTCAATAGTTCGCCCTTTATGGATTTCTTTTTTATTAGAATTGCTATAATAGTGATGGCAAATGTTCAATTAAATGCAGCAATATCGGGCTATTTTTACTGGTAAACGATATATATTATATTTATTATAATTTGTTCTTTATTAACCTCCCCATAGTTTTATTTCTTTAACAAATTCTTGAACAAAAAGTGCAAATATATCATCTTCACATTTAAAAAATATGTTTAAATTCACATTTAAATAATGTTTCAATTTGAGCATTCATATAAAGTTTTCAATTTATATAATCAGTTTATTTATTCATATGCACTTCAACTTAATAATATTTAGAAACAACAGCTGAATTTATAATTTTTATTTCTATAATATTAATTTGTAATAAAATAGCACAAAATCAATTTTAAGAAAATAATTATCATATAAACTATATTATTTAGGTAAATGATTCAACAGCCTAGTTCCATATTTATCTCAATATAGTATCAAAAGGACAATGATCTTATATTTAAGAGTTGCTAAATTTTATTTACTCATTTTTAAATAAAATTATTCGTCTACTAACTTCATATCAATTTGTTATTTTTTACATACAAAATTAATTTTACGTTCACTCATTATATTAATTATTTACCAACGGGTAACTTGTACTCATAGCCAATTATTAATTACTTATTATCCAATATATTTGCTAAACGCCCCCTAAATTGTTGATTAAAATAATTTGGTTAAATGAAAAAAGATTAACAAAAATATATAAAAACATAAAAGAATATAATATAATGCGTATTTTGTTTGCTTCAAATGCAAGTTTAATTCTTATAGTATTGAATTAAGTTTATAATTTATAGACACATGAATCACCCAAAACTATGAGAAATAAGTAACAATATACAACAAGATTTTAATTAGAATATAAAGTATGATTTTGCCACCCATTAAAGTAATTTATTGAATAATAACGTTACTTCATTTATCCGATGAACACTGAACATACTGAACGACCAAGTATGAAACACAAAGGACAGAATATCCCAGAGATTTGCAATTAAACGCTACCTACAGTATTTGGTGATATTGTGCAATATACGTAGCAAGGCAAAATGTTTCACCTGAATTTAATATTATAAAGCAGTCATTTAATTATTAATATCTTATAAAGCCCGAAAGATTACTTTGAGAGCATTATTATTACAACATGTGAAACTTAGTATCATGTCAAATATGTCTAATACAATATAACTATAAAAGTACTATTAATGCAGTACTTATCATCTAACTTGAGAAATCGAAAAATTAATAGAACTTTGATTGAAAGAAATTAATAACCAATATTAATTGTTATCGCTACTATATAAGTTAATAATTTGCACTTTTCTATTCATTTTAAGACAGTAGTTTGACTGACAATGAGTGTCGACTGGCCATTAGATTTATAAAATCGGTGCAGCCGTTTTTTAGTAGGTGTTGAAAGTTTAAAAATCAACCCAAATTTATACACATACTTTTCCGAATTTGGTCTCAAACTTGAAACTTTGAGGAAACAAACTCTTCTAGGGGTAGTTAATTAGTAATGTGCCAATTATGAAACGCAATATCATTTATATCTAATGGCTATTGGTTGGCAGACCGAATAAATAATGTTTTTTATCTTATTTCATTTATTCAATTTTAAGTAGCTGTACCAGTCGATACATCATATGTTGACGAGAAGACAGTTTTTTAGTAGATGTTGAAAGTTTAAAAATCAACCCATATTTATACACACACTTTTCCGAATTTGGTCTAAAACTTTAAACTTTGAGGAAACAAACTCTTCTGGAGGTAGTTAATTAATAATGTGCCAATTTTTAATCAGTAGACTATAGTAAATTTGCGGAGTTTGAGGAAAATGAGGATAACCATTGAGTAGCCTTCTATATATTCTATATAGTATTCTATATAACATGAATAGAATAGAACCAATTGAGAAGCTTTCTATAGACATCGGTGAAAAGAATCATCACAAATAATGATACAGATCCACAAAATAAAAATGTTATCTGTATATGTTTTCCAATGTAGTTTTTACCACTGAACACGAATCTAAAATCTACATTGCGAGTCAAATAGCAAAAAATGACAAAACCTTCGATCTAGTAATGTTTCTGCAAAATCTTGTAATTTTTGTCGTTTTCTGGCCCTTTTTACCTTAAAAGACTATTGAATAATTTATTGCAAACATATTTTCTCTCCATTGCCCCTGGGTAATCCGCAAGCATATTAACAATTTGAATATCTGAAAATGTGATAGCAAAATTCCGCTGTATTCTAAAAAAAACGTAATGGATCGTTTAAGGAGTACTAAAATTTTATTAGAAAATGGCCGAAAAAACGTAAAAAATTATATGATTTTAAGTTTCATGCAGAAAATTACTAGATCGAAGATTTTATCGTTTTTTTCTTAATTTTTCTCTTCAATAAGGCGACTAAAAAGAAAATAACATAGTGATCTGCCGGAACCAACCATAACTGTGGTACAGAAAAAAATATTCCACACAAGTTTCTAATATTCATTATTCATTATTATTGTTATTTTTATTATTATTTTTACCATTTAATTATCATTTATTAATTTATTTTATCCTTCTATTTTTCTTCCCTTTTTCCCATTATTATGATTTTCAACATGCTTTTCAGCTGATAGATTGTATTGCAGCTGATTGTTGAAATATACTGTGAATAATGAAAAAACACTTTTCAATTTATTGTCATTTGACCCCCAATTATGATTGTAATTTCGTGTTCAGTGGTAAAAACTACATTGGAAAACTTATAAGGCACACCCAATACAGACGTTTTTTTTAATTTTGTGGACCTGTGCAAATTGTTATTTTTGTTAAAAAATAAATTTTAATGTCAGGTGTTTCTCATTTCAAATTAAAATTATTGAGATCAATCGAAATTAGATCACCATTACATAATTTTATAAATTTACAACTGCGCCATTGGTCTGAAATATATGACAAAATCCATCAAAAGGCAATATCAGCATACTAACATTAGTACTAATGTTAATTGACATTGTCAAACATATGTTGATAATGAACTATGAGGAAGCAAGAATTTTCCATAGAAGTTTTCCTCTCATTTTATCTCATTATCATTTCGCCCGTCGTAAAGCTTAACAGAAGCGTAATGAATATATCATGAATCCTGACTTGAATGCAATCTTCTTGCATAAAATGTCAATATTTTTTATTATGAGTGACGCAAAATCGACGCTTCCTTTTTTTAAATCTTGCCCATGAGATAAAGTAAATTAAGTATTCAAGAGTGATTCACGTGTAAATTTTGCATGGTAATTTAGTTACGTTCTTTCGAGGAAAATTTATGGTAAACATTTTAGTGCCGGAAGAAGCTTCAAATAGAATTCTTATTTAGTAACTAGATGTAACTAAAGTTGAAAATGTGATAAATATAAGAACAATAAATACTACTAGTTTATTTTTGTTTAGTGACTAAAGTTAACTAGTGGTGTATGGCATCGTGACTTAAGGCAAATTGCTGGAGCTTCACGTGCCGTATTCGAGGCATAATAAATATTTTCAAATAGATTATTATAAATACTGCAACTTATAAATGTTTACAGAAAAGTGAATAAACAAAACTCAATCAATCGAATTTAAAATGGAGAACATTGTCTATTATTTGTAAGAATTATATAAACTGAATTGCAAACTTTAAATTATTTATTTCAAGTTTAAAAGTGAGCTTTAGAACTTTATTTAGAATTAAAATCCGAATTATTTTCGATATTCAAAAAAAAATATTCTGGAAATAACAAAAAATGGAAAAGATTCTTTTCCCAAAAATAATCGTTTTGTCAACACAAAGCAGAAAGTTTTTTGAATCATTCAAATCGGATACTCCATTCTTTCAAAAACTCGATTTCGAAAAGTTTTCAATTTTGATTTTTGGACGATTACAATAACTTACCCTACGGAAAGTAAATAAAATTCTAAAACTTTTTTAATTTTACAAAAATTATATTCATATAAAAGTGGAATATTAAAGAACACTTAAAACAAACTAATCCAGCTATCTAAAAATTTAAAACGTCTTAAACCTTTAAAAAATAAATTTTAACCTAATTCTTTATCGAATCAATTTCAGAAATAATTGCATTTCAGGCAATTTCGTTCTACAGATACTAAGTTACTTTCATCATTTCTTATATTAACTCATACTAATTAATTAATAAATTAATAAGTAGATTAAAAAATTCTCTTTTAAGTAGATTACGAAATACGCAAAGATCGACCACAAAATTCTAACGTTAAAAGTTAATTATGAGAAGTCAACATGACTGCCAATTATTCTGGACTAATCCACCAATTCTAACTGACTTTAGAGGTATTAAACTTCAAAATACACGCAAAATAATTTGTGAAAAATATACTTTTCATTAATTTCTAATATTTCTTATGTAACAATCTAGTAATTTGTTTAAAATAAATGCTTAAAATAAAATGCAACCGTGTTTTCTTATTGTCTGACTTACTTCTTCACTTGATGTATCTTTGAAAAGGGCATAATAAATTATTTTATTATAATTTTAATTTA